ACTGGCTAAATACCTCATTTATTAATTTACTCAACAACTATTTCTGACCAACTACTGAGTTTCAGGCAAGGGGACTCACCTGAGCCTCTAGGGGGTAAAAATGGCAGACACATCCAAGCGCTTCCTGAAAGTTTGTTGATTTGATACACCCAGAGGCATCTCGGAAGAAAGGCCTGGTGATGAAATATCAGCCACTGAAAACCCCAGAAATCACAATTCTACTAGGACACGCAAGGGATCACCAGGAGTTGAAGTAGACTCATAGCAATTGATTTGGTGGGGAGACTTTGGGCAGCAGTGAACAAAAAACATGGTCCTTTCCCTAATGGAGCTCCGTTCCGTTGGGAGGGAGGACATTCCAGGAGGAGAGGCTGACTCTGGACCTCTCCCATCCACATGTGGTGCTGAGAACAGCCTGGGGCTCGACACTTCCCAGCACCAGCCCACAGGACAGCAGGAACTGTGAGGAAGTAAGGATCTTACTTACTAGGGACTGGCTCTGGAGCCCTGGTGGTGCTGTGGGCTATTTGGTGGACTGCTAACTGATAGGTCACATGTTTGAACCCACCAACTCATTCCAGGGAGAAAGATGAAGACTTATGCTCCCCTTGAGATTGAGAGCCTTGGAAACTCTAGGGAGCAGTTCTGCTCGATCCTATCCCAATGACTCACTGCCATCAGTGGATGCTGATTCATGGCGAGATTCTGTTGAGTTTCCAAGACTGACTGTCTCTCTCTCTCTTTAAGGCTGTCAATCTTTATGGGAGTAGAAAGCTCTGTCTTTCTCCCTTGGAGTAGCTGGTGGTTTTGAACTGCTGACCTTGCAGTTAGCAGTCCAATGAGTAACCACTATGCCACCAGGGCTCCTACTCTACCCTATAGGGTCAGAATTGACTCGATGGCAGTGGGCGGTCCTAGAACACCAAAGTTAGTTGATTCACTCCTCTCCAACTCAATTCAACTCAAGACCCATGGCGCTAATGGAGGGAGGAGAGAACTAGGCCATTGAGTGGCCCAACTCTAGTGGCAACATTCACTGGAGCACACCGGGAGCAGCAGCCACTGGAGGACTGCACCAGGGATACAGGAATGTTGGCATTAGCTGCTGTCACCCAAGAGTCCAGAGTGGAACGACTCTGTAGGGTTTTCCAGGCCATGACATTTTGAATGTACATCAGGCCTCATGTAGACAACATCTCTGGGTGAGTTTGAATCCCCAACCTTCTGGTCAGTAGTGCAGTGCTTAAACATTTGTACCACCCAGAGATATGTGCTTCAAACCCATAGGGATTCCCCCCAGCCGGAGCACTATTAGGGAAGATGGTCTGAGGATGATGGTGGATGGGACACGTTCTCAGACTGAATCTGTACAAGACTAGCCATGGGCCCTTTGCAAAGAAGGGACCTTCCTTTGTCTCCGTTTCCTCTTCTGAGAAATCAGTACAACTGAAGGAGCTGCCTGGGGGTGGTTCTCAAAATGAATACCCCTGATGTGCTTGGACATTTAACCTGGCGCATGTTAAAGGCTAAGCAACTCATAGCTGTGTCGTTTTATGATGATGAAAGAAGGCTGGGTCCTCACTGTTGCGTTCTTTGCAGGGTAAAGAGCATGCGAATGAAATTGCTAATGAATCCAAACTCTGTGTAAGAGCATGCCCCTCTACAACCACTTTGTGATGGTGATGGAAGTTCTCACTCACAGCGCAAAATGTTAGAAATATCTTAAAAGCCCATGAGAGGACAAATAGCTAAGAGTATTATATCATTGCTGCAGAAATCATTATTATCCAACCTTTGAAAATGAGAACGATGAAGACCAGGCTCCTTCCTGGAAACATCGCACGGCATACTGCTGAGGAAAGCAGAGGAGGGAGTTCTGTGTCTACCCAAGCCCAACCCTCTGCCATCAAGTGGATCCTGACTCACAATGACCCTACCGGACAGAGGAGAACTGCTCCCCAGAGCTCCCCAGGACTGTACATCTTTACGGCAGTAGACAGCCTCATCAAGCTCCCTCAGAAAGACTGGTGGGTTTAAACTGCTGACCTTGAGCTGAGCAGCCAAATGCATGACCCACTGCGCCACAGTGGGACTGAAATAAGGCCAGAGCGTGCCTTCCTATGGAAGGAACATGGAAAACCTGTGTTGCAGCTGCTCTGCTGACAGTGGGACACGATGACACATGTCTCCATTGCTGTCAGAGTGTGGTTGAAGTGCTAGATCACATTTCAGAATAACAGAGACATGCTGAGCAGCCAACGAGAATGGGCTGTGTCTGCAATCTACAGCTCTGCCTTCCGTAATGCAGGAACCACAGAGTGCGACGGGGGTCATTTGTGGGCTGTTTCAGAAATCTACAGCACTATCAGTCCAGTGTGGCCCTTATAGGTGAGGCAGCCTCCTGTCCTGCCCACTCTGCTTTTTATCTGAAAACTGAACTCACTGTCACCTGGCCTGTTCTGACTCATAATGACCGTACAGGACAGGGTAGATTGCCCTTTGGGGTTGCCAGGGCTGTACAGTTTGGGGGCTGTACAGTTTGTGTTCAAACTGCCGGCCTTGAAGTTAGCAGCCCAAGGTATAATCTACTACATCACTAAGGTCCCTACCTTTATCTAATTAAAGAAAGAAAATTAACATGGCATTAAACACATCCAGGAGTCAGTGGTAGTTCAGCAGTAGAATCCTTGCCTTCTATGCAGAAGCTCCAGATGCCATGCTGGGTCCATACACCTCGATGCAGCCAGCATCCTGCTGTCTGTAGGAGTTTGTGTGTTACTATGATGCTGAACAAGGGTCAGCAGAGCTTCTAGACTAAGATGGACTAGGAAGAGAGGCCTGAGGGTCTACTTTCAACATTCAGCCAGTGGAAACCCTATCGATCACAACCACCCCATTGTACAAGGGGTCCCCATTAATCAGGCTGACCCCAATGGTAGCTAAGAAGAGCAAAGACATTAGAGTGTATGGCCTCGCATAAGGGACAGGTGACGTGCTCAGCTGTTAACTGGAAGGAAGAAAGGTCTGGCGAACTACTTCTGAAAAATCAGCCTCGATAACTCCGTGGAGTCCAACTCTACTCCGACACAGAGCATCGCCAAGAGTGAGCCTGGGAGCCCCTGGTCACGGGTTATGGGGTGAAATGTCTCTTAACTCTCAGAGGAGCAGGCAAAGCATTATGATGAAGGAGACTGGCTTCAAAGAAATAAAGGATACTGAGGGAAGAATGGACGGGGATGGCGATGAAGCGAGAGAGGCCTTCCAGGGGCAAGGATGGAAGCGAAGTCATGGGGCCTGAAGATAGGCACATCCTTACTCATCACACTCTTATTTTTATATTGCTGTACAAGTCCTCTGATCAGAAGCTAAGGCTACCACAGCTCTGCTGCATTCTCCACCCTTGTCTTGGATCCCCGGTTCCCAGACCACGAGGAGCATGCTCCACCCCTGGGATCTTGAAGCGGCTCTCGGTCCTACTGCTGCGGTAACAGATCCCTACATGCTTCTGTGCTGAAAACAACACAGCTCTCTTCTCCCGCTGATCTGGAGGTCTGGTGCAGTCTGAAATCAAAGTGTTGATGGGGTGGCTTGATTAGATTGGCCTCACCGGGGTAACCAGAATAATTTTTTCATCTCAGTGTCCTTCATTTAACCATGCCTGCAGAGTCCCCTGAGCCGTGTCAGGTGGCAGAGGCCCAGGCGCCAGGGATTGGGTCTATTATTCTCTTGGTCGCATCCTTCCTCTTCTCTCCCAACGGAGCCCCCCATTGTCTCATAGTTCACTCACTGCCCTGCTCCGCTCAGCCGCCATTCAAAGGCTTCTCCAGCCACGTCACCTGAGATGGCACAGCCACGCTCACTGTCACACACCATGTTTCTCCATGGCGCCTGGTCATCCACCCACCACCCACCCACCCCCACACACCACTCCTTTGTCCATTTCTTTGTACTCTTCCCTCCACGATAAGTGAGATCTATAGAAGCAGGACTCTTGGGCACAGCAGGACCCCCGGTTCAAAACAGCAGCCAGTACCCATTCGGCACTGAGTACAGTGAATGCTCAGTGGATGCACATACCAGCAGCAGCAGCCAAGCAAACCCACCTGGAAGGTCAGCACCACCATCTGTCAAAGCAGAAGGGTCCATCTGCTCACTGCCTGCTCCACCACGCCAGCTGAAGCCCTCCCCTTTCACCCCAGCTGGAGTCCCTGGGTACGTCCTGGACTGCTAACCAAAAGGTTGGAAGTTTGCATTCACCCAGAGGTGCCTCAGCAGAATGACCGGGTCATCTGCTTCCCGAAGAATCAGCCAGTGAAAACCCATGGAGCACAGTCCTATCTGGATACACACAAGGGTTGTCATGACTTAGCACTGACCTGATGGCAACTAGTTAAGTGGTCTGCCCCAAGACCTGCTCCCTACCTACACATGCTCGGCAGCTCCTCGCTTCAGTAGCTCATACCTAAAGTCCTTGCAATCAGGAAGATCCAGCACCTCGTCCACACCTGGCAGTCCCCAATCACACATCCAGCACTCTTATATTGCAATTTCTTTCCCCCAACCTCCTCTCCCAACTCAACAGAACCAGGCATGTCTTCCTATTTCCACCCACCAAGCACCCAGTGTTCTTTGCCACTCTAGGGGGCCCAGGCCACCTCAGGGCAGTCCCAGCTTATTCCTGCTGTGCTCGCAATCAACCCTAGACTCCTCCTTATGTATCACGTATGGTAACTGTCTGTCACCTTCTCTAGTGGGTTTTCCAAGAGCAGAGAGTGTGCTCTATTTGTGCATATGGATAGCACCATCAATCAACTCCGTGACTGACATATAAACAAACTTGACTAAATAAAGGAATAAATGCAAGAATAGCCTTCAATGAGGTCAGAATGGATGAAACAAACGTGATTGTTCTATGTTCATGACCACACAGCCTTAAACACAAAAAGCCCACAAACCCCCTACCGAGTCCAACGTCCTCTTGGAAGAGCTCAGTTGATTACCTTCACATGTGTGGTTTGGCTTCAGGGGAGACGAGGTGGCGGGAGACTCCTGGTGGCAGACACACTGGTACGAGCCCTCCGTGTTTACACAGCGTTCCTTTCCAGAGCAGGAGTTCAGCTCAGCAAAGAGACATTCATTCACATCTATGGAGGAAGAGGAAAGTCTGATTACTCAATGGAGTCAGAATCACTTCCGCTTTCTCGTGAACGTCCAAACAGGCATGCTCTGGGGATTTGTGTGGCATGAGCTGAGAGGTATGTTGGCCAGTGGCCCTGAGGGTAACTAGTTAAACCATGTCTTAGAGAAGTGGTTCTCAACCTGTGGGTCACGACCCCTTTGGGAGTCGAACGACCCTTTCAGAGGGGTCGCCTGATTCATCACAGTACCAAAATGACAGTTATGAAGTAGCAATGAAAATAATTTTATGGTTGGGGGTTACTACAGCATGAGGAACTGTATTACAGGGTCGTGGCATTAGGAAGGTTGCGAATCACTGTCTTCGAGACTCTCGGTCAGCCCTCTGGTCTACTTTACGAAGCAGTGCACCTGGCACACTCATTTTGCAGCCAACAGGTACCCCTTGGTAGCTGCTGTTGCCTAAGCAAATTATTTGGGGCACTTTCCAATTGGCACTAAAAGGCATCATCATACTGAGTGGTCGTGGTGATGGAACCAAACTCTCCCACCACATAGAGATCTTGTGGACGAGGAGGACGGAGCGCTCTGTGAGCTCAGACCGTAAAGAGAGCAGCCCTAACATGTGTGTGCTGGCTCAGGGCTCACAGCCTGACCGTGCCATTCTCCTGTGAGGCATGAGCCACCTCACGGACACCAGCCACAGGCACGGGCCCTCTGAGACTAGGAGAGAGTGAAAGGAAGCCCAGCCATTTTGTCGTTTGGGGTAAGCACCAAGGCAAGACATGGCATCACCCACAACATACCCAACAGCCCTTGCTCTGGGCCAAGGTGAACGGCTCCCCCTCTTCATCAATGACAGTATTACCTTCAGGGCAGTCACCCCACTCTATAGATACGAGGAATTGAGGTGCCTAATTATAGAATTGACTCCACTTTCTGGTATCATTCTATCTACAGTGAGTCCTGCTTCCTGAGCTCCTCCCCAAATAACCCAGCCAAAGCCCCGATCCTACTGCAGGCTCCTTCTAGCACCTTCTTCCTGAGATGCCCCCAATGTGTCTCATGGTGTGTATTTCCCACACAGAACCAACTTAGTCAACGACAGCTGTGCTCCTGTGGTTTGGGGCTGAAGGCCAAGGGCCGAATCCACAAGATAAACACTTTCCAATTGGCACTAAAAGGCATCATCGTAGTTTTTTAAAACGTGCACAGATTCTGGAAGAAGCATGCGATCACTGCAGGGCGCACTGGTCTGGAAGCCCTGCAGCATTCATCCTCCCCCACCCCAGCATGTCCCCCAAGCTCTGTCTTCTTTAAAACTTTGTACTGCAACTTGGGTGAAAACGTCAGTTTTCCATTCAATAATCCACGCTCATTCTTCTTCTTCTCGCTGATGGTAACATCACATGGTGTTTCCCACTTCCTCCCTGGACTTCCTGTTTCCTTTCCTTCTTTCCCAACCCTTCTGAGCTCTGTCCCCAGGAACCCTGGCACCTTTCTCAGGGACCCTTCGCACCAAGAAGCAGCTGCGTCCGCAGGAGCAGCCATCCTTCCACCCAGCATGGGCAGCACAAAGCTGTGGCCCATCAACTGCATTTACAAAGAAAGTTTTCTTCGAACGTGGTCACACCATATGCTTCCATCATATCTATTGCTGCCTTTGAAATACTATGGCAGAGCTGAATAATTGAGACAGAGACTATGTGGCATCAAATTTTTTTTAAAATTACTATGTGGCCCTTTTCAGAAGAAAAATCTACCTACCTCTAATGAGGAGCACTGGTGGAGCAGTGGGTAACACACTGGGCTGCTAACCACAAGGTCAGCGGTTTGAAACCACCAGCTACTCCGTGGGAGAAAGATGGGGCTCTCCCCCATGATTCATTGTCTCAGAAACCCACAGGGGCAGTTCTACTCTGTCCTTTAGGGCCCCCTGTGAGTCAGAATTGAGTCGATGGCATGAAGGGGTGACTCCTAATATAGAGGAGAGAACAAGAGGAAGAAACAGGCAGGAGGAAGATGGAAGAGAGGGAGGGAGGGGGAAAGGAGAAGAAAAGAAGGAAAGGTAATTTCCGAAAGGCCACATCTGTGAGCTCGACAGTCCAAGGTCAGCTTTGGGCACCTTCTCCAGAAGGAGTCCACTGGGTTCAAGGATGTCTGTGGCGAGGGTGGGGAAGCGCGTGCTCTTTTGGATTTCAAAGATGTGAAGAAACAAGTTCTTGGCATTCCGGGACTGGAGTAGGAGGAAAATCCCGCCCAGAGAGGGATGAGAGGGTGTGGAGGATACATAGAGAGAGGAGATAGAAAAAGGATGACATTGGAGAAAAACAAGGTCTCAAACCCTTCCTTTGGAGTTTAACCCTGGCTTGGATCAGACCGAAATTGCTGAATCTATACACGTGGGCCAACTGTTCTCCCATTAGTGAGTCTAAGCACTCTTCAGAGTGTGAAGGATGGTTTTCAGTGTTAGAAACTGTCATCTATTTGTGGTTCGGCCCCACACCACAGCCTCCCCCGAAGACAGGACCAAGGGAAACCACAACCTTGCACCTGAACGCTGACCACTTCGTAGGCACGCCGCACGATGTCGTCCAGCTCTGCAGAGATGCTGGCCACAGGCACTGGCTGCCTCAGGCCCAGCAGCAGCCATGACACCGTGGTGGAGGGGTCCCCGCCAGCCGAGTGCAGGTGGTGGACAGTGGAGTCCAGTGGCTGCAGGGCATTAGTGACCTGTGGAGGCAGAGTGAACAGATCATGAGGCATTTTACTGGCCCACCAGGTCCCCTGGAAAGCCACTGGTTTGACTGGGCTTTTATACTTTTTAAGTTCACCTAATGAGACGAAGACATGCGCATTACTGGGAGAACCCATTTGCTGCCATCGGTGATCCCAGAGACAGGTTCCAGCAGGTTTTGTGTGGGATAAAGTGTGCATGGGGGAACTGGAGCTCTTGAGCAATGCCTTTGGACTTCTCTTCATACATATGTACACACTCTCCCATATAGACAGACAATCACACAGGCACGTTCACGTGCACGCATATATGCATAGCCACACTCTCCTGAACACATGCACACGAAGACACACAGACCCACACACTCACAGACACACTCACACTCACA